AAAGTGATTTTCACTGTTATAATGGATTTCTTGCGTCATTTGATTATAATACACGGAAAAATATTCGTGAATATGAAAGGATTATGCTAAAAATAAGCAAACATGTTTGTAATTTATTTAATCATACATGCTTACAAGAGAATTTGCTGCCTAAAATACGCACACACACACACACACACACAGACACAGACACACACACACACACACACACACACACACACACACACACACACACACACACACATATATATATATATATATATATATATATATATATATATATATATATATGAATGGTGATGTATTGAAAATGGCTCCACGAAGTGTAACTGTAGCAAAAAGGACGAATGCCCTCTTGCGGGCAAATACCAACAAGAGTGCGTGGTCTACCAGGAAAAGATATATAGAAATAAATTTAATAGTACTGATAAGAACCCTAAAGTTTATATAGGTTCTACCCAGAGGAGTTTTAAAAAACGTTATTATAACCACCACAGTAGTTTCAAACACGAAACCTATAAACATAGTACTACCCTCTCCACTTATATATGAAAGATTAAACAGGAAGACAATAATTATTCCATTTTAGAATGGGAAATATTAAAAAAAATGTTATAAATATAAAGCAGGCGATAAATTTTGTTCACTATACATGGAGGAAAACCTAGCTTATTAGAGTAACATGTAATTTTTTTTCTCACGTTGCAATATTTTTATTTTTTATTTTTTGTCACATGGTTTTATTTGGTTTTATCGATAAATATTCTTCCACTATTTGCCTTTTTAGCCAGTTTTACCCTGAAGATCCGTTTAGGTGAAACCTAGGTAGGTTTGCCTGGCTCCTTAGGATTATTTTAGTTATATATATATATATATATATATATATATATATATATATATATATGGTGATTGTGACATCTTACTCAAATGCGTGAAACCTCCTCACCCCTCTCATCACTTGTAATGGCTTTCGTTTCGTTTCGGTGAACATGACTGTAAGATGACCCTTGAGACCGCTATTCTATCGCATAGGTATCAGGCATATAAGAGAGATAAACTCTTTATCCTCAATTAGTTTCATTGGATCTGCATGACCTACAATTCCTCAGTCCAGATGATGATTTGCAAACTTTGTTGCAAACAACAAAGTTGGCAAGACATTGAGGTACGTTGGCATTGTTGATTTGCTCCTAGTTGATATGATGATCTTTCAAATGGTTTTCATAGCCTACTCTCGACAACATCATACGCTCACACACAATACATTTCCAAAACTACATATTACTTGGCAAATCAGAGTGAGTTCCTTTGTAGATCACGCTTGATCTGAGAATGCTTGAGACGTCCATCCTCAAAAGTATTGCATCCCTCTCTTATAAAGTGCCTCCGCTCTGTATGAAATATTGCACATTCATGTGCAATGTATTCTGATTACTCTTCAGTTTATCTTTTAAACTCTTCTACGGCTTCTCTTGTCGACGTTTTCTTGTTTTCAGTTTCCAGTTATCTCAGTTTTTCGGTACCCTGTCATCCCACTCGTCCTCACAACGTTTTCTGTCCATCGCTTCTGGTCGAGGATTATTATTGTTTCATTACAGTTGCGTTTAGATCTTTGAAGGACAGTGTCTGAAATCAAAGACTGCCATTTGATATTAAATATGCGTTTTATGTATTTTTGATGGAATCGTTCAAGCCATTTTCTATGCCTCTGTATTTTGTCCATGTTTCAGTAGAATACAGCCGGGACATTAAGATACAAACCGTATACTCACTTCTTGACGGTAATACCTCAAGCTGACCAAACGCTACTTTCCAATTTCACAAAAGCAAAGTTTGCCTTAGGAATGGGTGAACAAAATCGTAGCATCGAGGGCACCGGCTTTTGATAACGTCCTTCCGAGGTATGGAGAAGTGTCAACAGCCTCCAGGTTGGTATTTTTCAAACGAATTGTTGGCTCTTTGGAAGGCACACCAGGTGGAGAGATGAAGATCAATTTTGTCTTCCTCCGGCTAATTCTCAATACAAAAGCATCACAAGCAGCAGAGAAACGATCCATTATAAATTGCAAATCTTCCTTCAAAGGACGCTATCGCAAATGTCGACACGATGCGCGAGTATTTTCTCCCGGTTAAAGCCTGCTTTCTCTGGAACCCAGAAAACATTATACCATCTAATAGCGATCAAGGTGTTCGGATTGGCAAAAAGGGAGTATCGCTATATATTACATTAAGCAACCGGTTGAAATGACTTAATGACGAGGCAGTGCTAATTTGGCTGGTGATTAGGGGCGCTTTCTCACTCGGCAAAAGGTCTTTTGCCGGAAGACCTCCATTGAGAGTCTATCAATCATAATTTATTTTACTATGCAGCCATACGCCTGCGATACAAGCATTTTTAAATATGAAGTATGATTTAAGCACAAGTTTTTTTTTTATTTGTTGGCTTTGGAAGCTTTGTTCTACTTGAGGACACGTTGGTTATTTATTCGTTGCAATGCGA